CATACAATACCTCATTTTGCCTTCGAGAAATGAAAACTCAATCATCTTAGAAACAGAAAAGTAAACATCTGTGGTTTAAAAAAAAACATTTTATCTATGCGTGTAACAAAGCAATTATGTACATGTATCTTATATACATAATTTATAATTACATTATATTACATAGGTACTGAGAAACAGAGCGATAAAATGTGATCGCATCTTGAAATTGAGACATTATATCTCGTAATATAGATACGCGTGGAGTGTAATGCACGTTGTCTCGACAAAATCACCTGTAATCTATCACATTATCAGTTACTAACCGTGCACTCTAGTATCATCCATTGTACATTTAAATGAAACATTTTAGCCACCCTCGTCCCCTGAACGACCGTCACAGCATCACACTTTATGCCGTATATTGTAACTTTTTTCCTTTATGCTTGTTGGGCCCTCGGGTTAAGAACTAGCGAGGTAGACTTTATAGGAAGTCTGCTTGGGTATGCCTCTAATACTTTTTTTTTATACCACAACTGTAGCGATCAATCATTTGGAAAGAATACACTCTATCATAAGGAGATGAAAACCATCGCTTCTAACAATAAGTACTAACAATATTGAACGATCCAAAACTTTTTTTTGTGTAAATTTGTTATTAATTTTTCTATTTTTAGTATGCATAGATTCAAGATTTAATAATACTTAATCTCAAGACATTTATTTCTAACATATACACATCTAAAACCTTGTGTAATATGAACATAAAGAATTTTAAGGTAAAGTTTATAAATCCACAAACCAAATTTCAAAATTGACATGCAAAATTACGAAAAAATGCTCTTGTCTATGTAATAGACTAAAACTACCGTCAACTACATGCGTCTGTAATAGTACCTGTACATGGTCAGCTGCCACCACATTTTTTTTTTTATATTATACATATATCGGGAAAAGGAAGACTTCTAATTAGAAAATACATTCCAATGGCCTAAATGTACGTTTGGTACATAAAATTAATAAGGTCTATGTTTTCCGGTTTTGTTTCCTACAATAAAAAAAATATATACAAGGTTCTATTAGACAAAGCAAGATTATTTTGTAAATAAAGAATATTCAACAGTTTTGACCCCCAATTAAGTGCGTATGTGTTGCGAATTCAGGTAGTAAGATAGCCTTCGTCATAACCAACTGGAATCAGACTTTTTAATGTTTATAAAGTCTACCATAATGGGGTCGAAAAAATATGACGTGTGACAAGAGGTGAGAGGGGTTAGAATTTGAATTTTAAAATCTAAGATCTGAATATTAAAACACGAAGTTTGAAGTAGGTACTAACGCAAAACTTAAAACATATCCTATTCATGTACTGGTTTACCAGGGATTGCAAAATATTTGACATCAGACTAGGGGAAATAAAGAAAGTAAAATTTATGAAATTATTGTGATGTAGGTACTTTTAATTTCATATATTTTAATTATTATCTATTTAATGTGTAATGTTGTGGAATGCCTGATTCTTGAGCATCACGATTAAGCTATGTAAAAATATAAATAACTATTTAGCGTACCTATATGCTAAATAAAAAAATCATTCAGTCATAAATTTATGGATTTATTCACATTAAAAACATGAGACCAGTAATCAGTTAGTTAAATAGTGACGTAGTAGGTAGATACATATTGCACCAAGTGAGACCTTACTGTATGTACATTATTGTATATAACTGCATTCGGAGTGCATACCAAGAGTACAGGTTATTAGCACTCATTGTCTGGACTATAATAGGCCGTGAGCTGCGCACGCGCAAATGGTCGACAGCCGCTTAGGGTGACCATAAATAATGGATTTGAAAACACCTATTGTATTTATTCCAAACGATGTAAGATTTAAAATTTGTTTATTGGTCATACATATAGGGTCAATTAATATTTATCATGCTATAAATTGTATGTATAATGCTTCACAGATTTTGTATCAACCATACTGACAGGTTTTTTTTATACTACGATGGGGGCAGACAAGATACGGCCTATCTGATAGTAAATGGTTATCGTAGCCTACGGACGCCTGAGACACCACGAGAATCACGTGCGCGTTGCAGACCCTTAAGAAACTTAGTATACCTTTCTTGAAAAACCCCATGCTTTAGTCTCATTGGATGTAAATTACATTTACATTACATTGATAATAATAATAATAATAACCCAGTACAATTCACACAGTGCCATCTAGTCCCAAGTTAAGCAGAGCTTGTGTTATGGTTGCTAGACTCATAGACTACTTTTTTTTTGTAAATATACGTATAATATAAATAGAGATTACCTAGACCAATACAAACAATCATACTCATGAATACAAATGTTTGTACCTTGCGAGGAATCGAACCCGCAACCATCGGAACTATAATATTAAACCGCTACACTCCAAAACCTTGTACAAAATAATGGAATAGTGTTCCCGCCTGAGCTCCAGGATATAAGAGGGGCACCAGTGCAAGAGGACAGAAGAGAGCAAGAAGTCACGTCCGTTAGCTCATCGTGGCGAATTCACAAAGAAATTATCTGTCTAATCTGCACCCTACAACCACAGCTTACAGAGTAAGCTGCTTAGCGGAATTAGAGAAATTGAGGTACACACGCAGACACCTAACACATCTGCTTTAAGGGGGGGAATAGCTAGTACTATGGACTAATAAACCCATTGCGAACAATGTGCCAAATCAGGTTAACTTTCACGCGGTTCCCCCTGGAAACATTCGTTATAAATTCCTGGTAAATTTGCAAGAATGCGCTAACTAACCTGACCTCGTGCTCATCGAATCATCCTCCACTGGTGCCCCGCCACTGTGTACCGTTAGCGCAGGCAGATGCGACATTCCATTGTCATCAGTTTAAAAAAAAACACCTCTGATTCTGGTCTATTTGGTTATTATTTCTAGCAAAAGAAATCCTTTGCTAGCAATGATGATCAGAGTAGTTACGAGGTAGCTACTTACAATTATTATTAACAATCCCTTCGACTGATTATATTAACTCGTATGTCAGCCAGTACCTTATATATTAGGTAGGTATTTTTGTTTAATGACTGATCCTGTTCGTCGTCACAAAACCACAGTTTTTACTCATGTGGCATTAATTAAATGCCTTACATTTCATCGTATGATATGCCTATTCAATTAGTCATATAACCAGCGCAGGAAATTATTGCAGAATCAATGAATAAATACCTTTTTAGAGAAGGTGAGATAAATTGCATGCGTTTATGTTTTAGTATATGTACTGCCGAAGCAAATACATGCGTTAGTGTAAGTTATTAAAATTATTATTCTTACTTATTGCGTTTTAGAAGTGAATTAAAAATCAAAGTAAGTGTAAGTTTTGTAATAATAACTTTTAACTATAAATAAATCAATCACATTTCTGTATGTGAAATTTATTTTTCAATTGATTTCACCATTATCTGATTCGTTCTTATCCTATATATTTGGGACTGACGTAATATGTTTTTCTTCTATTTCCGATTCATTTCAATCAATACTATGTGGACAGTTGCTTCCGTAATTTTAACTTTGTTAATTTTAATTTGTTTTTGAAAAAAGAAATCTTTAATTTATTTCCTACTAGCCGTGCCCACGGTTTCACCCGTATAAAACGTATAGCCTATATGTTATTCTAATATATAAGCTATATTACTATAAAGTTTCATCAAAATCCGTTCAGTAGTTTTTGCGTGAAAAAATAACTAAACATACATCATATTCACAAACTTTCTAATGATTTTTCGATTTAATAACTACTCTCCCTGGATTAGAGATCGTTATCGAATGATGACGGTTCATTATTTATTACAATGTACGAGTGTATTACAGCAAAACATTGGAGGTTAGTATCCATATGATTAGAGACACGATCTACCGCAATGCAGTCCACGGATGCGTCGAATTGGTACAGCCATCTGCATTAATATGTACTAAACATTTTATCGTCTTATCTGATTTTGACATTTTTTTTTTATTAATTGTGTTTATTCACATTTTTGTATAAATTATTTATGAAGTCCCTAACTACTGAGGTAGTTATAAAAAATTCCTGTACTTCAGGAGTCAGTGTCCTCTTCCATATTATGGTGTAAGTACGTGAAATTTTCATGATGGTTTCCAGGGGAACCACGCGAAGGTTGACCTGACATGAAATATTTTGGCAGGAATGGGGTCATCAGTCCACATTATTAACAGTGTCCCCCCCTGCCACGTTATACTCCGCTAAATATGAACGTTGATGCATTCACGGGGTGTTGTTAGGAATGCATCTAAAGCGGCTTAAATTGAAACCCTACCCAATAATATCTACCTGATAATTATATATTATATACATATATATAGTTTAGGTAACCCCATTTCTAGTCGATCAATGATTATACAAAAAGGAAACGCTGATAACCTAATCGTGAGTCAACGTGCATTCCTTTATCATATTTGTAAGAAATTAACGTTTTGATAATAAAAGAAATAATCAGAATAAAAGATAATTTCTCAGTACTACCTGAGTTCGTAACATCGTACAGATAGTTTTTTTTATTGTGTTTTGGTTTGAATTTAATATACATAAATGTGTGCTATTCGTACTTGCATCAATGAAACTGTATTCGAATTGTTGACATGAATTCTGAAATTAGCGTTCATAAATGCCTTGCGGGCGATAGCTACAAGTTTTACGTGTATGTTAATGTTATGTTACAAATGTTTTTTTAATTTTTTCTTTTAAGTTTAATATTATGGTGTAGATGATCAAATGTTTTTTTTAATGTCCTTTTGTTGAATATTGAGATTTGACAGTGAAATTATGGAGTACCTACGAAAGAATAACATCTTACTTCTCCGAAACGGCAAAGCATTAGTGATAGTGTAACGTCACACACTATCACTAATGTGATGAGGTGTGATATCCGTGCTGTTCAAGGATATGGGTGCCGTTTGATTAGCATTCCAGTTACATGAAAAATTCTTCTCTGTTATTAGGCGTCGACGTGGTCGGTCGTCGCGGGTCATGCAGGGCGCAGCTAGCGCCCCCGCGCCCCCCGCGGCTGAGCCGCCATCTTCTCAACGTAAGTACATACCAAATATGTTTTAACTTTAACAATTGAACCTATTTTTATACTAATATTCGCGCGTACAACTCGTCCGTTCTGCTCACCGGCTGCTCGTATAATGCCTTTTTTGTCGAGTCACTGTTCATAGTCCGCCATCTTGTGCACCATTACTCTCGAAAAACCGGAAGTGATAACACTAGCGACTTACCCCGGTTTCGCATGAATGCAGTTAGCTTACGGATTTCACAATGATTAACACAACGCCATCTAGTCTCAGATTAAGCAGAGCTTGTGTTATGGGTACTAAACCACTGTTATAAATACTTATATATTGTTTTTATATATAATAATTAGACTCATGAAAATTGTGCTTAAGTTTCTCAGAAAGCTATTAATTTTATATATATATATATATATATGAGGCGTGTCTCCCTAAAGTGCGAAACATAATATTTACGACTAAACCGACTATTGACGCATTAGTGACGCAACGAAGCAAGTAGGTAATGAATTTTTCGATCCAACTCAGACTGAACACAATCATTTCCTCAAGTACTATAATTGTATCACATTATATCTCCTGTACTAGCTCCTACCAATATAAATGTGAAAGAATTATTGTTTGTCGCAATAGTTAATAATATTAATAATACTCGTAATATCCGGCAATTTGGACAACACCATCTAGTCCCAAGATAAGCAGAGCTTGTGTTATGGTTTTTTTTGTAAATATATACATAAGATACCTACATACAAAACACCCAGAGCTATGCAGTCATACTCATAAATACAAATGTTTCTACCGTGCGAGGAATCGAACCCACGACCATCGGAAGTAAAGCGATGTGCTAAACCGTGACCTAACTCTAAAGAAATGGATCGATTGTTATGAATTTTTTTTTTTGTTTGATATCTGGCGTTATTGAGATGGTTCTTGGCAACAATTTATTACTTTTTATTATTATTCGGATGTTACTTAAAATTACAAAGTTTGTAATTACTACTAGTAGTAATTTCGATTGATTTAGTTACCGAAACATTGCCAAAACTGAATGAAACAAACACTATCAACAAGCTTCTCTGGTACATCACCTGATAACAAAACGCAGGTATACAAACAGGATGTGTAATCGATATTAATACATCGATTAATAGCGACCATCTCGCATCTCGCAACTCGATTCTGCTCGTATGGCGTTGTATGTAACTCGAGTGATATGGTTGGCACGAGCTGGACTCGACTCCTAAGCATTTCTACGAGCCACTACAATTTTTATTGCAATGTTTAGCTGATAATGTTTACGACTAGGCATCCGGCGCGGCGTGGCGAAATGCAAATATGATTGGACTTCAAAAACCTTGAATTTAATGTTTCGAATAGAAAAATGTGATATTTTATTGTTATTACGTATTTACTAGAGAATCTAAATATTTATGATAATCAAATTACATCAATAAATTCATTAAACTTGTCAAAATTTCATTATAATACCGCCAGCTTTTTTGACCTAAAACTTTGACTGACAAAAAGTTTTCGAATTGTCACAACTTTTCTATTTAATTATATGATTAATTTATTACTTCGAATTAAAAAAATATACCATATGTTACCTGATGATGAAGAAATTTTTTTTAAATAAAATATGTTTTTTATATATATTATATACTCACGTATAGACTTGATTTTTTGTTTGTATTGTTGGTAAAACTGTAATAATAAGAATATATTTAATAGATTAAAAAACATATTTTATTTGTTGATTCTTTGTTTGTGTTATATTAATATTATATCATGTTTATTATTCATCTTGACGCCCCGGTGGTCTAAACTCCCAGACCGATACAAACAATCATATTCATGAATACAAATGTTGCTCCGTGCGAGGCATCGAACCCGCAATCATCAGAAGTAAGGCGGTGAGCTAAACCTCTAGACCACCGAGGTCGTCAGATATTATATATATCAGATACATATATTCGTAAGATGTATTTGTTTTAAGTATCAGTACGAGCTCTGCCATAGTTTGGGTGTAGCTGCGCTGTATGCATTTTATAGAGTTATTAAAAAACAGAGCTATTATTATGTTATGTACGCAATAAAACAAATACGTGACTAACGTTATATTCGGAGTTAACGTATTAAATCATCATTGGTACATATCAATCAATTGCGATTGCAAACTTACATAATATTTCAACATATAAAGGCATTTCTTAATAACTAAGATTGATAGAATAAAGATTTTGTAAACTCTTACTAATAATATAAACGCGAAAGTTTGTGATTTTGGATAGATGGTTGACTGTTTTACGCAAAAACTACTGAACGGATTATGATGAAACTTTACAGTATAAGCTTCTACATCAAAACACATAGGTTATAATTTAAAAAGATATTATGTAAATTGCCCGAAATATAACGATAAGTATCAAGTAAGTTTTGATGCAAACAAAGTTGCGCGGGTCATATATGTAGTATGAAATATACAGTCACGGATGTTATCCCTAATGGAGTAATTACAGACATACATTTGATTTATTTATATAAATAATATAAATAACCCACGACAAATATAAATACCAAGCTAAACTGTGCTTGTGTTATGGGTAGACAACTGATAACAATATTGAAAGACTTTTCTTTTATAAATACATACCTATATAATATACATAGGAAATACCCAAACCAATATAAATATATATGCTCTTGAGTACAAATTATTGCAACGAACACGTAAAATCGAACTCGAGATCATCAGGAAATAAAGCGGTGTGCTAAACCACTAAAACATCGAGCCCGTCAAATAATATTAAGAAATAATTGGATCTATTTTTTAAATTGTCTCACCTATAGAAAGCAACATTTTCGAGTAACATACACTATATTCAACGCGGGCAACACCGCATGATTCCAGTAGTGAATAATAAAATGAAGAATTTCATTCTAAGTACATTAACAATCTCCTCAATAATAATAAAAGATAACCTTGCACAATTAATATAGCACCATCTAATCCCACTGTAAGCAGAGCTTGTGTTACGGCTACTAGACAATTGATATTTATACATAGTTCTTTTTGTAATTAGTATACACATAGAACTTTCTAATTATAATACACATAGAAAACACCCAGACCGATACAAACAAGCGTACTCATGAATACAAATCTTTGCAATGTGCGAGGAACCGAACCCGCGACCATAGGATGTAAAGCGGTGTGCTAAACTGCTAGACCACCGAGCAACCGCGTCATCATACAAACAACACAGAATATCTCATTAGGGCGTCATTAAGACAATCCTAAAGAATTCCGTTTGTTCAGCCGAAATTCGGATATCTCGAGAGAGCAACTCCACATCCTTTTGTGTCGCAAACACTTGTGTCAATACTATCTTGAGGTCATTCGGAAAGCGGCCGTCAACAAGCCTTGTGAGATACACTCGTGGCACATCTTCAAATTATAATCTCCCATTGAGAGCATTTTCTTTTTATACCAATAGTAAACGGTTCTGGTGGTAAACGAATACCGTAGTCTATGGACGTCTAAAAAAAGATACACGCATTATTATAATACACATTGACGTCCTCGGTGATCTAGCGATTAATTAATTAAAATTATTCCCATGTTTCACATTCAGTAAGACTATACAAATAATATTAAAATAAATGTTAATCTATTCTCAATACAATCGTAGTGTCTGTTTTTTTTATTTTTTTTTTTCTTATTTCGTAAGCAAAATTAAAAAAAAATTACATTCTGCACTCCTTCTCTATATAAACTATAAGTGTGCGAAATTTCATACTCCTACGTTCGCGCAATTTGCGTAAAAAAGGTGTAAAGTTATCGCTTCACGTAAGTATTAATATAATCATAAGAGCTAGTAGTGAATGCAGACAAATTGGCGACTTTCGTTGATGTTTCATATAGTCGTAAACTACATAATTATCCCAGATTAGGCCGGCATTACATCACGGTGTTCCACGAATAGTTCACTTATCATTTTCCTTTAAGATGAAATCGCCTATTTGAACATCACTACGGAAATAGATTATCTAGTGATTAATCCAACGGTTTCCTGTCTGTAATTTTTTAAATAATTCGAAGTGATAAAGTCCACATTGATGGTAATATACCCAATCAAAGTCATGAAGACAATTTGTATCGCGACTATTGAAAGTAAGGCGTTGCTAAACCACTAGAGTACCGGTGTGAGAATTAATATTAAATAACGAAGAAATGAGGCGATTATCATAATGTAAAATTACGAAATATATGTATAGATTCGTGCTACTGCGGAGCTCCGTACCGAACGATGTCCCATATCCGGTCATGCTGTTTGTGCCGATCGTGCTACATGAAGCAAGACCTAAGAAAGGCGACCGTGCCATAGAAATTGTTAAGTTCTGGTCTAAATATATTGAGGATTATCATTGACACGAAAGACGAAGAAGAAGAAGCTATTTTCACCTCTAGTTTTTTATGTACACAGGTACATAATAGCTGACCCGATAAACGTTGTTTTGCCATATAAATTAAAATCGCTATTAAAAAAAAATAAGGGTTGATGGTAGAAGGGTGAAAATTTTGGGTTGTATGTATTTTTAATGCCACATTATAAAAAATGTTGTCCAGAAAATAAAAAAAATCTTAGGGGTGCATATAAAATTTCATAAAAATCGATCAAGCCGTTTCGGAGGAGTATAGTAACTAACATTGTGACACGAGAATTTTATATATGATATTACAATAGGACTTACAAATTCCAATCGTCATTCGGTCTAATGCGTGTCTCGTTATCTTCAGATTAGGATGTTACCTTAAGGCGTGCAGGCGGTAATAACAACGGTACATTATCTGATAACCCTATAAGTCTTCGTATGTTCCGGTCCCAATTTACAAAATAAGAAAAAAAATGCTATTTTGGACAACTGGACCGTCTTGATAACAGATGAGTAATGGGTTAACTCGCGTCAGTGACTATGACGCAATCCAAACTATAAATGCAACGAGATA